TATGAAGAACATATTGTAAACCACTTATTCAAGTGGATACGGGCTGCAGTGTAATGCAACAAGGTATGAACATATAGTGGACGGTACAGAATATCATTGCGTAGAAGGGCACTTTCATTAAAGGTTCCATCAGAAAAAGGATCCGAAGAATACAATAAATTATAGCCCAAGATGGGTTGGAAGACAGCCGAGTGTAATTTTGGGTCTTGTAAGCAAACACCAACAGGGGAAAACCGGGAGAGCAGCATCTGAAGCTCACCCCGATTACCCGAGGCCACGGATATTCCACTGTAAATAGGCCATGATTGGCAACGAGGAAAATACCAGGAATCCACAGGTAAGGGCATCTATGGACTAGAGGGGGTTAGAAAAGTCTATGTGCGGTGGCATCGGAAGATGTTTAAGTAGCAAAGGAATGGAGCGTTGCAAAGAAAGTTGTGGAGATGGAGGGGAGGGAGGAGAAGGAACAGGAGGTGGATCAGTGTCCATGGAAGGTTTAGTCTCTGCAATATATTCTGAAATGGCTTCAAGTGTTTCTGAATTCAAAGGCGTATGGGAGACAATATTGGAGGTGGAGGGTGAGTAAAGATTGGGACAGTAATGGACTGTACCAAAGTAGGGGGGGACTAAAGAGTGTAGGGGACTGGAGAAGAAGTGTGGGAGGGGACAGAAGAGGCAGAAACCTGGGAAGTGGCAGAAGAGGGAGAAACTTGGGAGGGGACGGGGGTGGAAGGCATAGTACGAGGAGGAGGGTGAACCTCCACACTTGTAATAGAGCCAGAGAGAGGGGAAGAACTAGGCACAGAGACTGGAAAGGTAAAATGCAGAGGTGGAAGAAGGGAAGGAGGGTTCAAAGAGTATTTGAGCAATGGGGATTTTTTGGACTTCTGAGAATTAGAGGGGCAATCGGTATAAGGTGTCGTACGAGGTCTTGTCGATACTGGGGCTTGTGAGGAAGGACGCGAAGATGTGAGAACAGACTGAGGTGTTGTAGTAGGGATGTCAGAGCCCAGGACAGCAAAAGAATTAGATACCTGAGTGGCTTTGGGAGGGGTAACCACAGAGGAGGCTGCAGAAGATGGGACCCCAGAAGTGGGGGGACATTTGGAAACACGAGAATAAGAAACACGGGGTAGTCTCCCTTTGAGGTGGAGATGAGAAACTGCCATAGCATATGGGAGACCTTCTGCCTCTTTGAGGCAACGGATTTCACACTTATTTAAGTAGACCTGGCAATGGTGAGAGTACGAAGGGTGAGCCTCATGACAATTAAGGCAAGAGGGAGGTTGACTGCAAGACATATTAGAATGGTCATTGGCACCACAGACTGGGCATTCAGGTATAGACCTGCAATATTTTGCTGGGTGACCAAATTGCCAGCAATTTCTACACTGTTGCGGTGTAGGGGTCACCTTTTGAACTTGTAACCAATATCCTGTGACATAAACAGAGGATGGGTGTTCATGGCTGTCAAAAGTTATCGAGCCACATTGCAAGTATCGCCTTCGCCCGCAGGCAGAAAGGACATGTGTCTACCTTGAGGATTGGGAGATCTTGGAGTTCCAGCTGTTCGAGAATGTCATTGCCTCATGTCTGAAAATTCTGTTGGACTATGGTATGGGGCAGAATGACAGTACCACTACAAGAATTGAGGGAATGATGTTTTTCGATAGTGACAGGAATAGTATCGATATGCGAAAGAGAAAGATCATGAGCTTGGGTAGCATTCTGGGCAGTGATGATGCGTACTGCTCTTGAGAGCATAAAAGGAAATATATCTACCAACATGTCATAGGAGCGCCTTGCCAATGCAATGGTCGGAAAGATAGGCACCAGAGGAAGTCGGTCGTAAAGAATTTAATCCATTGTGCATTCCGAAACTGAGCGTGGAAAGGGAGTGCATGACGGGTTGATCTTTTCTGAGAAGAACGAGGTGGTGGTGAAGTATCATCATCAGGCAATTGTCGTTGGCGTTTAGGAGTGGGACCGGAGTTGGTCCAACGTGAAACGGGCTGGGGATTCGAAAATTGCCACATCGTAGAGGGAGAGGCTGGAAGCATAGTCAAAGGAGAGCGGAGGTCAGATAAATTGAAGGAGTTAGTCAAAGCCCAGGTACCTGAAGCGGGTGAGGAAACAGCACCAGCAAGAGGTACAAGGGCATCAGGGTTGTCCGAAGAGTGGTCAAAAAATGAGGCAGGGTCAGAATGGGGTGCGGTATCAAGAAGGGGCCCCGGGGGTAGGAGGTTCATGGATTGGGATCTCCATGGTTAGGTTACTTCTTGTCTTTTTGTTTTTAAGAAAAAAAAAGAAAGAAAATAAAATAAAAATAAAAAAAGAATAAAAAAAAGGGGGGAGTGAGGAGGAATAGTTCCTAGGAGGAATGAAAGGGCCGGAAATCTCCCTCTGCGCCCAAGAGGACCTCAGAACCGCAAGTAGCCCAGATGCAGCACGGAACCCGTGCCATACCCTACCCTTCATGCCAGTAAACCAGCAATCCGGGATAGCAACCTCACATCTGCCGAGCTACTTCGGTGGACAAAAGAGAGGGCGGCCAGATATCTGCCACAAAGCATACCTCCTTCGGCCACCACCCCCGGAATCCGAAAGGCTGCTTCCAAAGATACCTGTCGCCTGGAAGACACCCCCCCTTCCCCCGGGATACTGGAGAGGGATCAGGACATCTCCAGGCGATCCAGATTCCACGGCAAACTACGCCACCTCCAAGAACCTCAACGGAATGTGATGGACCCCGGTACCCTTCCCCCTACCTAGGAACCAGCATGCCTGTGGGAAGAATCCTACAGGCCAAAAAGAGGAAGGGAATAAGGGAGGGACAGGGAGGAGGAGGAGGAAAGGGAAAAGGGAGGGTAGGAGACCATCAGGTCTAATTCCTCAGACCAAGAGCCTCTTCACCACGCCAAGGAGCCCCCCTTGAAGAGGACTCTTGGCCAAAATTCACAAATTTGCTTAACACCATTAAAGTCGTTATAAAAGATGTTAATACAAGTATTTATACACTGCTATTACCCACTTCTCACCTCTCATTTTTATATATTCTTTTCATTCCACAGTTGTTCATTCATTGTAAAACCTTAACAGACTAGTAGTGTGGAGAGAGAGTATTCGGTCATTTTATTGTCAAGTAAATCCAAAGTATTAAAAATAGAAAAAAGACAAACAAAAGCGTTACAGTACTGTATATAATACAGTATTGTACACACAGTTTGTAAAATTTATGTAATTAATATTGAAAAATAAAGACATTAAATGTACAATAATATAATTTCTCTTTGATAGATAACCGAGATTGTTTTGCTGTGACAATAATGGACCATTCTGTACCTAGCGAATTTTGTCCATTTCGTAACTTATTCGTCATAACATTAGTTACGTCAATTCTGTATCAGCGGACTTTGTTCCCGAAATCAGTTTATTCAGATTTTGTCCATTATTTCTGAATTCATTAAATGGAGGTTGTTAAACTGAAGTTTTTACTGTACATTGTACTAGTTTTCCTGTACAATATTGTGTGATCATCAATAATTTTTTAGGTGCACTGTACAATCAATATTATGTCTAGGATGTTCAGCAAATTTACTATTTTAATATAAGAGGAGGCCCAAGGCTATGATTCTTCCGAATATTGATTTATAAGTTTTGGATGTTTCTTCATCATCTCAACTAAAAAGATCACTGATTATCTAATGAACATGCATAACACCGGCCGGATTGCCGGTATTCCCATACCCCCTAGCCACTAAAGCTGTTCACCCAATAGGTTATTTCTAAACCATGGTGTAGACAAACCTAGTGATGAATTCTTATTGTGACAGCTGGTCTAGTGCTAGCGCGACGCTGAAGTTTTGAGACTCTATGACCGCGGGTTCAATCCCGGCCGGGGGTATGGTTTATGGATTACACTAAAAGTAAAGCAATAATGGATTACAATAAAAGTAAATCAGGTAACCCAACTAAGATAATTTAATATATATAATTTACATGCAGTAGATAGAAATGTAAATGTTTTTAAAATCGTGACTAGTTTAGTTAATGGTCCAAGTCGGACCCAAACGTCGTTTTATGTTCAGTCTTCCATGTGCGGGTTATTTGCGCATTTTTAAAATCGTGGTTTACTTTATTGTAATGCATTTTTTAGATTCTGATGATGGGAAAAAAAATCCGAAACGTCAATAAAGAATTCGGATATCCTTTAATGATGGTATTCGTCGTAGTCTTGGTCCCTGCTTTTCATATGAAAGGTTCCCTTTCCATGTGGAACCTCAATTGATAATGATATCTATTTTTAACATGGGTTGACATGTAAATAAAACACGTGTAGTACTAGGATATTTATTGAGATAATTTTATTCACAAGAACTTGATAATCCCGGATTGACAAAGTTCCTGTAAGTCAAACGTCTCATCAGTATATAACTGAAGTACAGTACTACATGTGATTTACGTATATATTTATCAATACATCTATTTCATAACAGTGTTAGAAATACAGTATAGTATACTGTGGTAAGTTATCAAATATTCATGTTTAATTTAATCTTCCTCATTCATATTTAATCAACAGGCATCAAATATTTTGGTAAGAAAGACACATGTGTAACAGTTAGGTATCTTTATTCTGAAACGTTTCGCCTACACAGTAGGCTTCAGTCTAGTACAGAAAAGTTGGTACTCGACTGAAGAAGTCTACTATGTAGGCGAAACGTTTCGGAATAAAGATACCTAACTGTTGCATATGTCTTACTAACCTGTCCGTATTTTATACCATTTTTAATATTCATCAAATACTGTTGCGGAAACTAATAATTGCTACCCTGGTATTTTAGCAAATACAATTTTCCTCGAGTGATCCAGATTTTAACATGGTGGTCTAGGTCTCACAAGGAGTGAAAAAATGCATTAAACTCACAGCTAATATGAATAATTTTCACATTGATTTATGTTTTTATAATAATATATAATAATATAATGTTTGCTGACAGGGAAATATTACTGCTCCCCGTGTGACCTCACACTAAACTCCGAGAGTCAGTTTGCTCAACACGTAGAATCCAAGAAACACAAGACGAAGAGAGTCAAGTAACTAGGTGGGTCAAACAATAGTCGCTTTTAAAATTATTGCTGCTACTTTATATAACAGGAATGAGTTAGTCCAATCTCTTATATTAAGATGTACATTATTCCTAAATCTCCATTGCAGGGAAGCCTCACTGAACGAGACTCACGTTGCCCCTGATCCCATACTGGGGTTGATCCATTAGGGAGCATCATTTGTTGTTCAATGAAATCTTTTAATGATTCCTTGACATCTTACCGTCGGTGGAGGCGATATTTTTTATTTATATAGCTATCACTGACTATTAAACATTAACTCGCATTACATTTCCGTACAGTGTTCCTCTAGGGAGGTAGTTTGATGCTAGTAAGGGGATCTTGATTCAAGGAATGAGACTTAAGTTCCATCTCTTTGTATCAGGCCTAATTGCCTCCCATTTCCCAGATATTATATAACTCCTGCGGGTTTAGCGTTTCCCCCTAATTATAACAACATTTTTCCACTAAGTCAAGACATGCAGCATTGTATTTTGCTGAAAATAATTGAAGGTGGTAAGCTATCACAAGCGTTCACTGAACATGAAATTGAATTTTCTTTCATGTAAGAAGAGATAATATTGCTTGTAATTGTTGCAAGTGATGCCATCACTCACGCATCAACCCCTCATTCTGCACTCTTCCCTACTGGAAATAACTGGAGAAGGTGGCTACACACTACAGGTGTACAGTGTAGACGACTGGGATATTTTTTGTATTGCAGTGAAGAGTGGGATGCCCCGCCCAGCATGCAATACCACTCACTGTTGACAGCCCCTATCAGATCTCCATCCTAGCTAACAAATTTGTTGCATATTATATGTATTGCTGTGTCTTGCTCTATTGCCCTAATATTTATCCATATTTGAGGCCGAATATTTGGGAACTGAATATTTTATCATTTTTGTCCGAAAGTGATCTCGATTTCTACAATGCCATTTAATGGGATAACCCCTTCCCCACACTCTGAAATAGGTTCTTTCAGGTACTCTGGCAGATCGTTCATTGAGACTTTCCTACTGCATCACAGTAGTTTAAGACTTTATAATTTAAATTTATTAGCAAGTGTAGGATAAGTATAAACTTTATTCATACTGTTTCATTGAAGGAAGAAGTTTGAATGTGTTTGTAGGGACACCAAAGGCTTGGGGGGGGGTAAAAGTTGCCATAAAAGACTGAAGTTAGTGAATGAGGATGTAGCGAATGACGACGTTTGGCTTTGTATGTGTACTCACTTATTTGTGATTACCCCTGCCTCTTAATTTGCCATTCTCCTGATTCACTTCCTTTTATCCTCGTGGGCCTATCCTACCTGCTCTTAAAACTGTGTGTGGAATCTACCTCCACCTCTTCCGCACTGAAAAATACTTCCTAACGTCACTGTGGATTTTCTGTGACTAACTTCCAGCAATGTCCCCCCAAAAGCTTATCCGTCTACCTCATCAGCTCGCCTGAGGATTTTGTACGTTATGTCCCTCCTGTTCTACTATCCTCCAATGCCATTGAGTCTAATTTTGTTAGCCTCTCCTTGTAGCTCATGCCACTGAACTCAGGAACAAGCCTTGTTGCATACTTCTGCACTTTCCAGTTTCTCGACATGCATTTTTGTTGTGGGTTCCACGCTGGTGCTGAATACATAAGATGGCTCTAATGTACGTTATATATAAAGGGCCTGGAATGACTGTTGAAATTCCTGAACGCTATCCTTAGATTTGCCAGACAAGCTGATATGAGCCCCTAACTATATACAGGGCATTGTGCTTACCCCTAGATCTGCAGCCTCCATTACCCTAGTCAATACCCTGTTTCCAGTTTTCTTGCTCCGTCTCCAATCTTCATGACCTTGCATTTACAGGGGTTGAATTCAAGCAGCCATTTATCTGACAGCTTTTGTAATTTGTCATAAAACTCCAGTAGGTTTGTGACACAGGATTTTCCTTCCCTGAAACCATGCTGGTTGTTTATACACTTGTTTCTCTCCAGGTGCTCCACCACTCTCCTCCTGATGATTTTTTCCATGACTTTGCATACTATACACGTTAGTGACACAGGTTTGTAGTTTAATGCCTCGTGTCTGTCTCTTTTTTAAAAATTGGGACTACATTTGCCATCTTCCATACCTCAGGGAGTTGCCCAGTTTCAGTGAATGTGTTGAAGATCTTTGTTAGTGGCACACACAACATCTCTGCTCCCTCTCTAAGGACCCACAGAGAGATGTAGTCTGGTCCCACCACCTTTGAGGTATCAAGTTCACATAGCAGCTTCTTCACCTCCTCCTCCTCCTCGGTTATGTGTACCTCATCCAGCACTTGTTGGTGTACCTCCCTGTTCTGATTTCCTGGAGTCCTACCGGTTTCCACTGTAAATACTTCTTTAAACCTCATGTTGAGCTCCTCATATACCTCTTGGTTGTTTCTTGTGAACTCCTCATCCTTCATCAGTCTGATTACCTGGTCCTTGACTGTTGTTTTCCTACTGATGTGGCTATACAACAGCTTCAGGTCAGATTTGACTTTCGATGCTGTCATTTTCATATTGTCACTGAGCCTCCCTTCTTATCTATGCATGTTCGTTTCTGGCTCTTCAGCTAATCTCTTTATTTTCCTGGGTCCTTTTTCTTCTGTACCTTTTCCATTCTCTAGTACACCTAGTTTTTGCCTCTTTGCACCTTTGGGGGAACCAAGGACTCGTTCTGGTCTTCCCATTATTTCTGTTTCCCTAGGAAACAAACCTCTCCTCTGCCTCCTTGCATTTTATCGCATAGTGTATCATTTATTTTACTGGTTTTCCTGCCAGCTCTCTTTTCCACTGAACGTCTTGCAGGAAGTTCCTCATGCCTGTGTAGTCCCCTCTTTTGTAGTTTGGTTTTTCCCATCCTATTCCTGCTACTCTCTCCAATTGTAGCTCAACTATGTAGTCAAAGCACAGAACTACATGATCACTAGCTCCTAGGAGACTTTCATACATGATATCCTCTATGGCCGAACTACTAAGGTGAATACAAGGTCCAGTCTTGCTGGGTCATCCTTACCTCTCTCTCTGGTAATGTCTCTTAACATGTTGATGCACGAGGTTTTCCAGTACCGCATCCATCATCTTGGCCCTCCATGTTTTGGGACCCCCATGGGGCTCCAGGTTTTGCCAATCTCCTTGTGATTGAAATCACCCATAACTAGTAACTTTGCTCCCCCCATGTGAGCTCTTCTGGCCACCTCTGCTAGTATGTCAACCATTGCTCTGTTGCTCTCGTCGTATTCTTTTCTAGGCTTCCTGCAGTTCTGTGGCGGGTTGTACATTACTGCAATTACCACCTTATGGCCCTCAGACTGGATTGTTCCTACTAAGTAGTCTCTTTCGCCCATGCTATCCATTCCTTCCATTTTCTCAAATCCCCACCAGTTTTTATTGAGCAGTGCAACTCCTCCTCCCTCTATATTTCCCGAGGATTTGATATTCAGGTGGAAAGATTGCATCTGTTATCCTGGTGAGTTTTGTTTCTGTGAGTGCTACAATGTCTGGGGATGTCTCCTTGATTCTTTCATACCACTCCTCACACTTGTTATTCCATCTGCATTTGTATACCACACCTTCAACTTTTCTAAAACTGTGGTCTGGGGGGTACATTGGGGTTGGGAAAGTGGGAGACCTGATAAGGAACTATGGGTGGTTGCTGTGGGGGTGGAGTTTGTAATGAGGTAGATGGGGGCATTGGATATGGCATGTGTGTTTTGGGTTAGAATGCTTTGTTGCATTGGGGTTGTCCTGGTTGGGGGGCTTTTGTAGGTGGTTGTGAGGGAGGCCATATTTGATCTTCCTCCTGAGTCAGGGTTCTTCTGTCTATCTCTATCTTCACCTCTCTTTTCTCCTTTCGTCTTTGTACCATCTTTTCAGTTTCTGCCTTTCTTCTTGTGTTCTGTCGTGGTCAAGATACACCTTCCGGTATGCTGGCATGTCCTGTAGTCTTGCTTTCTCCTGCAGGATCCTGTTCTGAGTTGATTCTGCCTTTAAAGTCACTTTCACTGGCCGCATTCTTCTTGCAAACCCCCCTATTCTCCAAAAATTTGCCAGCTGGGTCATGTCATCTCCTGTTGCTTTTATGATGCTTTCAATCGCATATTTTCCCCTTGTCTTCTTGCTTCATAAGTTTTCCCTTCAACTTCCTGGAGCCCATAAACAAAGACTGACCTCTCCCTTTCATTCTCCCACTGCATATCCCTATGTATCCACTGATTCAATTTAGTTTCCTCCATTGCAGCTTTCCTTTATTCAATTTCTTCACTGTCTATTGTCCTTGGGCCCAGTGGCCTGTCATTTTCCCTTCCCAGCTTTCCCTGGGCTCTGCTGTGGTCTGTTAGGGCCTCCACATATAGCTTAGCTCTTTCATTTTCTACAGTCCCCTCGATTGCTCCTGATGTGATTCTCTCTTTTTATCTGGCTCCACAATGGTCTGATAGGGCTTCTGCATGCAGTTTTACTCCTTTGTTCCCTACAGTCCCCTTGTTTGTGACTGAGGTAGCAGTCTCTGATGTCATTCCCAAATTGTTCTTTAGTTCTTTAGACTGTTTCAGATTTTTCAGTTCCTCTTCTAATCTCTATATCCTAGCCTCTGCTGCTGTGACTTGCATCTCCCACTTCTTGCTTTCTGCATCTATCCTCTCTTCCATTCTTATGCTAAGTTCTTCTAACTTCTTTCCTCATTCATGTTCCCTTTTTTCTTGAGCTCTGCTGCCCAATCTTCCTTTGCAGATTCATCCTCCAGTCCCTTGGTTTTCCTTCCTGCTCTCTGGCAACCTATTTTTTTTTATTTTGGTTGCTACAGAATGAAAAACTTATGTAATTCTGTGTGTTTGTTTTGTGGTGTGTTTGTCTGAGTGGGGGGGGGCAGGGAGGTAGAGGAGGAAGCTGTAGACAGTGGCTAAATGGGAGGGGTGGAGAGGGGGATTGAGGGGAAATATGGGGATGAGGAGGAGGGAGAAGCAAAGAGGGAGAATGGGAGGGAGAGGGGGAAAGAGGGAAAGGTTGGGGAGAAGGAGGGTGAGAGAGAGAGGAGGATCAGGGAAAGGAGTGGGAGATTGGCAGGGGAGGGTGCAAGGGGGAGAGAGTGTGAGTCTGTATATGTAAGAATGTGTGGGTGTAAACGTGTGTGTGTGTGTACTCACCTAATTGTGGTTGCAGGGGTCGAATCTCAGCTCTTGGCCCTGCCTCTTCACTGACTGCTACTGGGTCCTCCCTCTCCCTTTTCCATGAGCTTTATCATACCTCGTCTTAAAACTGTGTATGGTTCCTGCCTCCAATACATCGCTTGCCAGACTATTCCACTTCCTAACAACTCTGTGGCTGAAGAAATACTTCCTAACATATCTTTGACTCATCTGAGTCTTCAGCTTCCAATTGTGACCCCTTGTTTCTGTGTCCCATCTCTGGAGCAGCCTGTGTCTGTCCACCTTGTCTATTCCACGCCGTATTTTGTATGTCATTATCGTGTCTCCCCTGACCCTCCTGTCCTCCAGTGTCGTCAGATTGATTTTCTTTAACCTTTCTTTGTAGGACATTCCCCTTAGCTATGGAACTAGCCTTGTTGCAAACCTTTGCACTTTCTCTAATTTCTTGATGTGTTTGACCAGGTGCGAGTTGCAAAATGGTGCTGCGTACTCCTGTATGGGACTGACGTACACATTGTATAAAGTCTTGAATGATTCCTTACTGAGGTACCAGAATACTATTCTTAAGTTTGCCAGGCCCCCATATGCCGCAGCAGTTATCTGGTTAATGTGTGCTTCTGGCGACATACTCGGTATTATACTCTCTCCTAGATCTTTCTCCTTGAGTAAGGTTTGCAGTCTTTGGACTCCTAGCCTATACTCTGTCTGCGGTCTTCTTTGCACTTCCCCATTCTTCATGACTTTGCATTTGGCAGGGTTAAATTCTAGGAGCCAGTTGCTGTACCATGCATCCAGCCTGTCCAGGTCTCATTGTAGACCTGTCTAGTCCACATCTGATTTAATTCTCCTCATTAACTTCACATCATCTGCAAACAGGGACACTTCTGAGTCTATCTCTTCCATCATGTCGTTCACATATACCAAGAATAGCACTGGTCCCAGGACTGACCCCTGTGTGACCCCGCTTGTCACAGGCACCCACTGTGATACCTCATCATGGACCATGACTTGCTCTTGCCTCTCTGTTGGGTATTCTCTGATCCATTGCAGTGCCCTTCCTGTTATGTGTGCCTGATCCTCTAGCTTCTGTTCTAATCTCTTGTGAGGAACTGTGTCAAAGGCCTTGCGGTCCAAGAAAATGCAATCAACCCACCCCTCCCTGTGTGTGTGTGTGGAACTATATGTGGGTTTATTAAGTGTCTGAAAAGTAGGTGGAATTGTGTGTTGTGCTGTATGAGTGTGGAGTTTGCAGTGCTCCCTTACCTGGCTACACTCTCCTGTGACCTGACCCACACCTACCTACTGTTTTGACTCCTCTATGCTTTTACTTCCTCGTAGTCTTATAGAATCCTGTCTCGCCTTGTTCTATAAATTACCAATTGCTATTCCTTAATGAGTACTTGATAACCTATTCTTTATTGTACTACGAGAGTTGGACTTCACAATCAGCTTGGCGGTTAATTGGAAACCAAAACCCACACCCAACAACCACCATAGGTGAATACTTGCAATGCAGCCTATATCAGCCTGTAGATTGTCTAGCTCAATGTCATGTCCTGGCGTAGATCCACCTCCGTTTCTCGATATACACCTACCATCCGACTTACGACCTGCTCGACATATGACCACTCGACTTACTACCATGTTTTTTTATGCCAAATTTCTGGGAAATAACTGTTTGTGTTGTACACAGTGTTTATCCTAAACCTTACAGTATAAAATACAGTACTAACACCATAAAAAGTAAAGTAAAAAGTGAAATACCAAAATAAAACAATGGACTTACTTCCATTTCAGCTTACGACCGGTTGGTCGGAACCAAGCTTGGTCGTAAGTTGAATGGTACCTGTATAATGTACCCTATTCACTGTATTTCTTTCACTGGTCACACATTTGTTTCACTATATTATCTTTCTTGGGTGACACGTGGCAACGTCGCCTGGAGCACACTAGGCCTTCCCACTCTGAATGTACCACCAAGTATCGCTTTCTAGTTCACTTATAAAATTGTGGCTCTCCCCATACTTATGTGGCCCAGGGCAAATTGTAAATCACTTCAAGGATTGTTCACTACCCTGACACACTTAGCGACCTTTGTAGTACACTTGGGTAGCCCTCAAAAACACTTTATATTCGCGGAGCGCAGATGCTTGCACTCATGCACCGGTGTCCCTCACGCGTGGTTTATCATATCTATACTATTTGTGATTTCCAAGGGTTGAACATAGCTCCTGTGCCCCACCTCTTCACTGTGTATTGTGTTGTACTTCCATTTGTTGTTGCAGTGGTCCAACTCAGACTCTGCATTAGTCACCAAGTTGTGATTTCAGAGTTGAGTCGTCTTCTGCCCCACTTCTTCCACTGTCGCTATTGATTCACTCCTTCTGCTCCATGAGCTTTATCATACTCTTCTTAAAGCTTTGTATGGATTCTGCTCTATTCTTACAGCTTCCAGACTGTTTCCACTGTCTACAACTCTGTGCTGCTAAAATGTGTGTGTGTTCACCTATTTGTGATTGCAGGGGTCAAGTCATAGCTCCTTGCCCCACCTCTTCGGTGGTTGCTACTATGTTGACTCTCTCCCTTCTCCATGATCTCTACTGAACCTCTTCTTAAGCTGTGTATGTATAATGCCTCCACTACCTAACTCTCCAGATTGTGCCACTTCCTGACAACTCAGTGACTGTGTGTGCATGTAACTGCATGCACATGCATGCACACACAAGTGAGCAGGTGTGAGTGTACCATACATAATGATTTTATTTTTTCAGCAATGTGATGTGTGATCTTCAACAGTCAAGCAGTAAAAACTAGCTTCTTGATAGTCATGTGATGGCATTACCTTGTTTGGCTTCTATGGAATATAATTTTGTTTAATAACAATCAAGGGGAAGATTGACTAGGATGTAAGTGCAAGATATCATGTAGTCATGGAGCAGCAACACTTTTTGTGTTTTCTATCTGAATATGTGACACCTGGGTACACAGTGTTGGCAGGTCTAGTGTGTGCTGAACATTCATGAGTGGGTTTGAATTGTTTCTTAAAAAAAAAATCATATTGTATAGCATCTCTTTATTATATGCTTATTTAAACATGTAGCATAAATTGTTGAATATTTGTTAAAGAAAATGACCTTTGATATCCTATGATATATTATTTTGGAATACATAGATAACCTGAAGATATATAATTTTCAGCATGTCAGATTTTAGATTAGAACTGTGTGAGAATTAAAGGGGTCAGTATTGAAATAATAAGGTAATACATATAAGTTGTAGGACAGGCATACAGTACTGTACTTCATATAATAATGAGAAATAATTTACAGTATATAAAAATTGGGACACTAGATAATGACATTTACAGTCATGTGTTGTTCAGGTGCTCAATAGTTGTTGTAGGTTCCAGAAAATGTGATACTAGAATGTTAACAATGTCTTGATAATACATACCTCTTTAAACTTGTTAATGATGTACAGTAGAAATTAATGTCACAACATGATTTCTGACAGATTTCGCTCACAAGTTTGAAAACACATGACGCCTGACCCTGTGTGCTCTTACTATGATCTTGTAACCCGTGTGTGTATGTTGCTGCTCGTAAGCTTACATAAGTCACCTGAAATATAAAATGGTATTTTTTCCAAAATTTTCTGAATAATAATTCTGTGTATGTATTACTGTAAGATGCAAGTATTTGTTGTCTACTGTTTAGAGAAACATTTTGAAAAGAGTAGCAAGTGAAAGAAAAAAAAAGCTTAAGTTTAGTTCACTGTATGAAGCATTTGGGGTACACAGCATTCTCACTCAAAGCTGTGAAACAAAGGTCATGCATATATCCTTCATCAGATAAGTAGCTACAAAATTTTTGTTTAGATATTACAGTAGAACTGTTATGTAATAAGTATAGGTAATCATTTTCCAAATTTTTTCCTGACACAAGTTCTTCCATTTACTGAGTAGTAAAAAAACCACAGTACAGCTGGGGATTGAACTTGCAGACTGGGTAACACGCTGGTCTGGAGTTTTACGACTCGCTAGCCGCGAGTTCAATCCCCACCCGTACCCTGGTTTCTTTGCAATCGTGTCATTACGATTTTGTGAGTATTGAATAGTAATCTTGATGAGTGGAACAGTTGCTACTACTGTGTTGTGCAATATATTATGTTCTTTAATTACCTATTTTGCTTATTAACAAAGCTCACCCTGGTTTTAATGCAGTATATGATGAAACAACTAAGATGAATATATTACACTTCTGTGTTACTGTAATTAATTTTATATTTTTACATTATTCAGGGAAATAATTTTTTTAACACAATAACAACAATAACAAGTTTATTTTAACATGATACATATTTGTACAAAGGATTGTAACAATTTGGTGAACATTTTATATAATTTATATTGTTATTATAGTACAGAACCCTTTCTGTATCTCTGAATGATCTTTTAAATTATATACAGTATTTTTTTTTTTTTTTTTTTTTTTTTTTTGAGTCTGGGATAAGCAAGTTCAAACATTGGAAACATTTTAGAAAATTATTAATATAACAAGTATGCTAAAATTTTGAAAGCCTTATGTGGTGTAAAGTTTTCTTAATAGTAAGAAACATTTATAAACCTGAACACATGTTTCAGTATCAGTGACATTATCAGTTACAGTGTTTGGTGTGTTCCTCAGTTTAATGGCTACAGTAACTTACAGAAAACTGAATGAATAATGCAATTTTCCATGTTTAGGATATGGAAATTGTCATGTTATTATATTCATGAAGCTCTAAACCCATATGGGTTGTACAACACCTAGCAAATGAGAGGGAATCAGATTAGATCCAAGGAACTGAAGGGTAGCTCTAATTCCTTGGATCAAGGCCCCTTGACAACATGAGAGGCACCCCCCCACTTGTAGGCTTCTCATGCTGTATTTTGTGCATTCATTGTAGTTATTCAGAATTAAGTTACTTTTCTGTAAAAGTATTTGCAGCTACTGTGATAACCTATTTAATAAATGCTTCAGAATTTAAAAATTTAATTATCAAGTAAGAAAAAAAGGCACAATACCGTGACTGGAACAATACACAAATAACCCACACATAGAAGATGTCCAAGTCGGACCGAAATGTCGTCGTAAGCTCCTCTCTTCTATGTGCAGGTTATTTGTGTATTTTTAATTATTAAAAACTGAAATTATATCAAAGAGAAAAATGATAATTAATTTTTGTATAATTTAAAACAGTAACTGCACAATTATGTAATCAGTTAAGATCAGAATTTTTCCTATATTATTTGCATTGTCAATTTCCAAAATCATGCAAGGTAAAATGCAATAAGTCTGCAACATCTTTATGACTTTATTTATAGTATAAGGGTACTGTAGTGGTTAAGTAGGTCATGTATGTCATTTTGAGCAAAATATGTGAAACCATTTTCTTGCCAAAATTGTATTACTGTAATATAATTATCTATTTTGCATACATAAATCTTGTTCAAAATTCAAGACAATATTAATAATATAAGACTATGTTATGGTTCCCAAAAGTATTATACTATTCATGTTGTGAAAGTCACCTATACTTGTTTTCAATAATTTATTGTGTTTAAAATATACAAAAATACATGGAATGCTTCCCTATTTCATAATATGTAACCATTGTGTTTTTTTAACATTTTATAATGTTCTTTGAGTATAACTGGGACCATTTCCTCTTTGTATTTTTTGAAAGTTTTTGAGAGTTCTAGTGATTTTTAAAAATATCAAACCATCCTTAAAAAATATATAAAATATAAATAGATATAACTTTTATACATATTAATTTTAAAAGTTTAGAGCTGATATCCTACCTCAGCTCATTTCAAAGTCTAACACTATGTAAAGTATACTACCACCTGGGATGTGACCTACAATAGTCATTAACACCCAGATACATACCTACTTACTGCCAGGTGAATAGGGGCAGCAGGTGTATGGAAACATGCCCAATGTTTCCACCCATACGGGGATCAAATCATGGACACTCATTATGTGAGCTCAGTGTGCTACTTACCGAGCACGTGAGTAAGTTGTAATCAACTCTCCCGCGCCTGGAGGACAGGCAAGAGAGATATATCATAATCTACACATAGAAGATCCTGGAAGGACTGGTCCCTAATCTGCACACAGAAATCACTTCCTATAAAAGCAAAAGACTTGGCAGGTGATGCAACATACCCCCAGTGAAAAGTAGGAGTGCCATTAGTACACTAAGAGAAAACACAATAAGTGTCCGGGCCCAAGACTGTTCAACAGCCTCTACCAGTCATAAGAGGAATTACCAATAGACCCCTGGTTGTCTTCAAGAGGGAGCTGGACAGATACCTAAAGTCAGTGCCAGATCATCCAGGCTGTGGTTCGTACATTGAACTATGTGGCCAGCAGTAACAGCCTCGTTGATCAGGCCCTGATCCACCAGGAGGCCTGGTTATAGACCGGGCCATGGGGGCATTGATCCCCAGAATACCCTCCAGGTAGGTAGTGGGACCTTGGCTGTCGAACTTAATTTGTTCCAGAGGTCGGTTCAACAACCAAACCAATTTTTCCCATAAAGAATAATGTAAATAGAGTTAATCCATTCCAGACCAAAAATGACAGTATAATAATTTATTAATAATAATGTACAAACTTCTATATAAAAAATGTATAAAATTATACAGCACACAGAAACTGTAAAAATGAATACTAAATGAAAATTTAACTGCCTCTCACCTGTCAGAGGAGAGCTAATGGTAAAATTCTAGTGGCTTTAAATCTTGCAGGACAAAGTTGGTAGACCTACATGTGAGAGAATGGGTTTGCATGGTCAGTGCGTGCAAAATAAAAAAAAAAACTGCAACACGCAGTGCAAAATGATAAAAAACTACAACTGTGTTTTTGGTTTAAAACAGCTAATTTGCCGTGTATTTTCGTATGGTATTTATGGTTGTATTCTCGATTTCGTGGTCTCATTTGATAGAATGAAAGATATATTACAGAAATATTGATGATTTCAATGGTTTAAAGACTAAAAGTAGCTCGAAATTGAGCTCAAATTAGCGATATGTTCGATTTTTGCCGATGTTCAAGAGGAAACAAATCACGTCGTGCATCCAATATACATAAACTGGTGGGTCGAATACGCATTCACGAATGTGGTGATATTTATACAATTATTACAATTATGCAGTAGTCTGAATAACAATAAATCTTCTATATTTTGTGTGAATAAAAATTCAAAATGAAAAGTAAGAGTAATACAAGAGGGGCCTGGAGACATGACTAATGAACAGATAAAATGTTATTTTAGTGCCAGGAATGTCTGCATTGTTTATGCTGGACCCTATTTTGAAATTGGCCTGTCTTGAATTTTGTGTGAAATTGGCCAAATTAGTTAATTCAGATCATTTTATTGGGTAGTTGAAATTGGTAAATGGGCAGCTTCTTGTACTCAATCAATAGAATAAAGGAGTTTTAGTGAAATAGCTATGAGTTTGGTCGACTGGAACAGTGGAATTGGCCCAATATGGGGCTCGAAGTAGGCAAAACACCGATGTGTGCACATCGCCAAGACCGCTAACTTCACAACAGCATAATTCCATATGTTTTCCATCAAATTTTATACTCTTGGTTTCATTACCTTCACAAGATGCACAGCAAGAGCTCAAGAAATGTTTACAGCATGTGAGTTAGTTGCTATACTGACTGAGACCCACACTGTGGACTTTGGTAATCACGTGATCTGAGTGTTGCCGGTCGACAACCAAGACCATATACGAAAACCAGGACCGATTTTCTTGTTCAAAAACTGATTTGTTCAACAATTAGTCCTTTCGACATTCGAGATTCCACTGTATTTTGATGAAGCTGCTGACTGTTCAACATTAAAGGTATACCATAATCATTTCTTTATAATCAAAAGACTTACATATACTGCATATATAAACTCATATTCTTATGTAGACACATACCAACATGCATAAGCATGCATGTACATATATGTACATCAACAGTAAGAACAAGATACCACACCTATTACCCACAAAAGAATCAGTGCTGAAAATACACAAGAATGTCCTTCACAGTGATAGAACAAAGGAATGGCTTGCAAGAGGAATTAGTAAGTGATACAACCACTAAAAATTTTAAACTTAGATTTGCTCCTAAAAAGAATATGAGAAAGTAAAGATAGAATATCTCTATGGAACCAGCGATGAAAGGCAATAATTATAAATTCAAATTATGAAAAAAAGTATTTAAAGAACATATGACAATAGTCATTCAAAAATCAAATGGTTGATAGATGGAATGGGATCCAAGAGGAAGTAGTGTCCACTAATACTACTAGTAAATTATAATACTGTATTTATGACAAACTGATCAGTGAAGCAGGATACAACAAGCAGAGCTCTATTTATATATCAGCAAAAAGTACATGTATATAATTACATGCACGCAATACAGATAATTCTGAAAACTTAGTGGGAAATATCTAGGTGCATACAACTTTCCATTTAGCCAAGAGAAAAGGAATTTTAAGTGATGGACTACTTAATACAGGTACAGTACTAAACACTTTCAATGAAAAATTTACTGTGAAAAAAAAAGCAAAAAAACATTGTAACAGATTTCAGTTTCATTAATCCCTTGGCTGGATAATATTGCAACATATATCTCAATATAATTCAGCTAGATGACTATGGAAACATTAGGGAAAATTTTTGCTTAGCAAAATCTTCACCTTCACCTATCAGCTTCCAAAAAACCTAAACTTCTGTATTTCTTGACATAATATGAGCCTACTAGAAAAGTACCAGTCATAAAAGCTATACAATTCAGCCAAAACAACTAAGAAAAATATGTCTTCATTACAAACTTACCAAACGAGGTCCACATTTCTTGCAATGTCTTAGAAAAAGGGTGAAAAGTCACCCTCCCTGAGCACATTCATTTTTTTTTTTTTTTTTTTTTTTGCCATGGCCTATTTTTTTTCATGGTATTTATTGTAAAACATAACATATGTACTTACTGTAAAATCATAACTTAAAAAACAGTAACATTTATAATAAATTAATTATTTTATTTGGCAAAGGAGTGGCATCTTTTTTGTGTGCTTGCTCTTCCAATTTTATAACCTGGCTATGATACCAATTTCCTGACTCCTTATACCAATAAAATATTATCATACTGCACATTCAACAAATTATCGTATAATGTACTAAAAAAATTAAATATGGTACAGTAAAAAATAAGCACATATGCAACAGTTAGGTATCTTTATTTTGAAACGTTTCGCCTACACAGTAGGCTTCTTCAGTCGAGTACAGAAAAGTTGATAGAAGCAGAAGATACTTGAAGACGATGTAATCAGTCCATCACCCTTAAAGTTTTGAGGTGGTCAGTCCCTCAGTCTGGAGAAGAGCATTGTTCCATAGTAGGAAACAATATGGAGTTGAAGTGACAGGATGGAGCCTTATATAGCGCCAGGAGGTGAGACGTAGGTCACTAGAAGAGGTAAGAACGCAGATGTTGGGAGGTCAGGTCCCTCTCAAATCCAGCCGTTCTCACTAGTAGAGGTCGAAGTTGATTGCAGGTCTGTACCAAGATACCCTTACGTTACGTTGCATAGTAGGAAACAATATTGTTTCCTACAATGGAACAATGCTCTTCTCCAGACTGAGGGACTGACCACCTCAAAACTTTAAGGGTGATGGACTGATTACATCGTCTTCAAGTATCTTCTGCTTCTATCAACTTTTCTGTACTCGACTGAAGAAGCCTACTGTGTAGGCGAAACGTTTCGAAATAAAGATACCTAACTGTTGCATATGTGTCTTACCTAACAACCTGTCGGTATTTTATACCATTTTAATGTTCAAAAAATAAGCAGTCAGAAAAACTACTTTTCTAAACCATTTGCCAAAGTAAAAGAAATATACATTTCTTGATTTTACCTGACAAAACAAATACATATATAAGCATACACCTATACCACACATACACTAAATAGTTATAATACAATCAAGATATGTATTTCATTAAAAAAACAACAGAATAAATAACAGAAATAAAATTTCCATCTTATAAATTCATTGCATATTGTACTCTGAGTTACTAAATCATGTTCAATTTATATTTATAGGCCATTGGTGGTTATCTGTTACTCCCATCAAAATTTTAATTACTGAAATAAGAAAATTATACTGGAATTGTTTTTTCATCACTGATTATAACATGGGTTTCTAGGGACAATAAAAAATAAGGGGGTAGTTTAATTTAAAATTAAGTCAGCAATTCTCCTCGGAAATGCCAACTGGATATTAAATTCCTCAATGTGATTTTTTGTATGCATAAGCACATCAAAGCCATGACTTTAGCATGAGAAGTAAACCTACATGTAAACTGCTAAAATCAGTGTTTATAAAAAGAAGAAATTTGTCACATAAATTAGTTAAACCTACATGTAAAAACATTCATGGTCTACTGGAGAGAAGGCTAGTTGCAAGATATGACTTATGGTAAGATACAAAGGCATAAACACAAATTAGTTCACAAAAAAAAGGAAAGCATGATATACTGATTTAAAACACTATCTTATATTATTATTACTGTATTATAATGGTCATACATTGCCTGGA